GACTTCTTGTTAAAAACCACAATCGTTTATGGTGAAAAATTATATTTTTGAATTCTTGTTGAAAACAGCAAGTCCCATAGCATTGATACTATGCATATTGTTCATTTTCTAATGATATCTTCTGTTCTTTAATTGAAATGTGCATTGCTAACAGCGGAGCTATCTCAGCCGAGAGGCTGCTTGTTTGTTTATTTATGACTAATTTTTGCAGTTTTTATTGTATCCTGGTATTCTTAAAAAATTGAATACTGAAAAAAAAACGACATCTGATTTTAATCAAATTGGCCAAATGGCAGCAATTTAATAAGAGGTACAAATTCATCAAAATTAGGCATTCCTGTCATTTTGGAATGGCTGTATGGGTGGGTTTTGTACTCCCATACTTGGGTACATACAATCAGTGCGTCTTTTAACAGGACTGGATTTTGTAGGAGTCCCGAGTCCGCCAAAATAAAGCGAGAGAACTTGTTGACTGCTGGAGAGGTTGGTCTTCAAAAAAAAAATAAAATTGTATGCGACTATCTGTATCTATTTAAATCCAGATTTGTCTAGCAAACCTCCGGGATTATGGTACAACTTTATCTAAGCCCTGGGCAAAATGTCAAACACATTTTGCCATCTTAAGAGGCTAAGCCTTTCTTTGGGCTCTTACTGAAGATTTTGTGTGTTGTATCTCATCATAGTGTGCTCGTACATTTTCTATGGTTCCCAACACATGACCAATTTTAACGAAATGGTTCCTTAACCCTTAATTTTATCATTGCATTTCATGTGACATTAATCTTTGTCCATGAACTTGTGTTTAAAACCATATTTGATTTGGTCATCTTTATGTTATTGTATTTAAACAAAATTATTTTCTAAATCACAGCTATTGCAGTTTTAAGATTTTTTTTTAAGATCACTATATCAATGCATGATTTTCTGTTGCATCATATCGGCTTTAATATAGGACACACTGCATTACAATACACATTATTAGGACCTTGGTGAACATCCCTTTGTTTTGCAGACTGTATGCAAAATGGCCGAATGGTGACCATTATATTATAATAAACCTTGTGATATCTTAGAATGCTACATATATGCTAACAATACCCAGAGAGCTTGGAATTTTGTTTTTCTAATTAGTTCAATGATATTATCATGCATTTACATATTTGATCCCTTTGTTCATGTTGGCTGATGATACATAGATTGAAAAATTTCCTATAAAATTCTATTTTTTACACAAAATATACACAATGCATAAAAAGAGTAGACATTTTATTTTCATGTAGATGGCATATGGAAGTACACTGAGAAATGCCATTATAAATATTAAAATACTTTATATATTTAGCATGTAACATAATTGAAGCAAAAATGACTGTACGAGTGATGGGAAGACCTTTATATCAATGATGCATGGAACCCATGACAAGTCAGCTGTGGGTACACGTCACAGCAAGCAAGCACTATATATGTAGAGCATTACATCACATATTAGCATTACATCACATATGCAGAGCATCACATTATATATGAAGAGCATGACTGGTATATCAAATGAAGCGCGTCACATATTACATTACATATGCAGAGTATTATATCATATATGCAGAGCATTACATCATATATGCAGAGCATTGCATCATATATGCAGAGCATTGCATCATATATGCAGAGCATTGCATCATATATGCAGAGCATTGCATCATATATGCAGAGGATTACATCATATATGCAGAGGATTACATCATATATGCAGCGCATTACATCATATATGCAGAGCATTGCATCATATATGCAGAGCATTGCACCATATATGCAGAGCATTGCATCATATATGCAGAGCATTGCATCATATATGCAGAGAATTACATCATATATGCAGAGTATTACATCATATATGCAGAGGATTACATCATATATGCAGAGGATTACATTATATATGCAGAAGCATTACATAATATATGCAGAGTATTACATCATATATACAGAGTATTACATTATTATGCAGAGACTTCTCAGAAATGAATCATATAAGAAGCTAGTATACACACGCTAAATATATATGAATCAATTAGGGTTACTGTACAAACGCTTAAAAAAACACTGTCGTCACAACTGCATGTTTGCATGAGGAAGGCTCACAAGAAACATATTCACATAGTAACAAATGTTTAGAGATCTAGTAAATACAAAAATTGGAGAAAATCAATTTGATACTAGGCTTGGTCATGAATAGTTATAATTGTGAGGTATATTTTACAGCATTATGTTGCATTTCATCTGCATGACATACATCAAAACCCAACCAGGGAACAATATTACAAGAGTAGAAATTGCACATGTGACAATAAAAAAAATATACGGAAATAGAGGATACACATTTTATATTACCAAATTTTCATCATGATTTTTTTCTCAGGGCAGTCACTTTTGGTAAAATAGCAATGAATAATTCTCTTTTGCATCATAAATCATATTATTAGATTAAAGAGGATTTTGTGGTTCCAACCTGAAAATCTTATCTTTTTGATCAGTATAGCTATAAAAGACATGATGGTCACCGTCCACTGTGAATTATCATTTCTCAACAAGGTATATTTTCATGCACTGAATTTAGTACGAAGACTTCATTGGAATACGTTTACATAGTAATGGCCAAGGTAGCATTTCCACTCTCTTCTGGCCAATTAGACACACAGCACAGTCATTGACTGTCAGTTTCTTTTTCTTAAATGAATAATGAATATATTTTGTTCATTGAAACAACACAGGTATGAATGAAAATAAATTGTCATCATAAACACAGCAAAATGTATTGGGTATGGGTATAATGACATTTATGTTTCAGAAATGATTAACTTCTGATTGCTGGCACCACAACATTTGTTTCATCACACATAGGTACATTTGCACAGATGTTTCCTCCCGAGAATAGTAGAATACATCAAGGCTGGACAGACAACATATTATCTTCACTGTGTGTGGATCATGCATGACTTGTAATAGTATAAGGTTATTACGAAGATACCTCAGTATGCGCGAAACAGCACAGCGACAGCATACTGTTTGAGTGCATACTTTGATGTATCTTCGTAATAACCTTATTATTATACATCTTTTCCTACCAAGGATACATCATGGGAATGACGAAATCTAAAAAGTTTAGAACAGAATCAGCGAACTTCTCTGTATGGAGTTTGATCAAACCCTAGTGGCAGCAATGTTTGTTTTTATTATTAGAAGACACTTATGGGCGTAATCATTCCATATTTAGAATTCACATTTCCTAATATGGTAGGATGAAGACATGCTTCTATTAAATATTTTGCCCGTTTTTATGTATTTTTCTTGAATTTCTTTTTGGACCAAATGGACATTATTTGCTGCTGGCTACAAGTCTTGATCAAAGTTATCAAAAAATCGTGTTAAGTTTTAATTTCTGATTGGTGACAAAAGTTGACCTGGTACTCAAAGGGTGAAAAGCATACAGTATTTACTCCAACAGAAGCAAAAAATAAACTTAAAATTGCATTTAATATATGTTGATTCAAAAATGACTTTTATGAATATAGACACACATGTGTATGTATTAGAGTAAATACATTATTGTATTAAGTGAGCCAAAAACTTTGATATTCTGCCAAGGTTAAAAACTTGCAGTATTATCAATGGACTTTCTTTGCATTTGTACCATCAGCACCAAAAAACCAATACTTCAACCATATATATATATATCCCTGTATATATTTCAGCACCCTACACCCTGGAAAAGCAGACGTTCCATTGCTGACCCCTTTTACACACTCTCAGTTCTCCATTCAAGATCCTTATCCTCCATTTTATTTCTAGATAACTTGTAACTCATCCTGTAACCACTCAGGTAGTTGTTGTCCAAGTCTACTCAGTAATTTAAATAACTCTATATTGTGCTGTTTGTAATATTGCTGTAGGAATTTCTGTGACTGTGAATCCATGATAGGATAGTTTCTGCCTTTACTTTTACCGAGACATTTAGTTTTTCCTTCAGGCAATATCTGACAGTAGAACCCTTTCTTGCTGTCGAATCTGTTTAAAATAGAAAAAAAAAAGATGGGAAAATATTAATTTATATTGAGAGGATAACTTTCGTGTTAGCTATGTAGTGAGATACTGTAATTTTAACAGTGTTCAGATGAATTCCTGAGACCTGCTGATAATTGAAAAAACTATAATATTAATTTTAAAACCCAAATGTACGCATCTACGTTCATTTGGTTGAAAATAAAAAAAAGGAAAAGACCCCAGAATTTGAAAATAAATAAATATTAATTTGACAATTTTTTTGACGCATTGATGGAACTTTTTGATAACACCTGCCAACATTTCTCAGTTAAGTCAAAACATATATACATGGCAAAATTTAATCCATTGAAAAAACCTTTCAACAAACAAGCTGTTCTCTGATTGGTCTAACTGTCAGATGTTAGCATTGGGTAGCCAATCAGGCACAATCTTGTAAGTAGCTTATACATTGACTTAAATTTCTTTATTCATTTTTATTGTGCTGACATTAATCACGTGAAATGCAATAACATAAATTTGAATAATTAATAAATGCAGATCCAGGAAATTATTGTACTCTGAATCTCCAATGACAGCAGCAGAATTTCTTTGTCAATGTTGGTGGCAATAAATTCAATCTAGTGAATGTGCGACGCTCAAAATATTCAAAGTGAGATTAGTCCCAATGGAAATTAATGCTACTATAGTATTATTAAATCACAAACTTACTTCAGATGTTGTTCGTAGTTATAAAATGGCTTTATCTTTAGATATCGTTGAACCTTGTTCATCACAGACACTGGATCATTTTTCAATAATTCTCCATCCAAAATTAAAAGCTGAATAGAAACACAACAAAACAAGTCATGACACAGTCCCTATTGTGCAATAGTATACAAAACTGAAATGTATCGGCCATTTTGAATCAAAACTTCAAAAGAAAGTGTGTGTGTAAAATTTGATTGCAATCAGTTGAGGTGTGCCATCTGATTTGTAAAACAAAATGATGGGGATCAAGGTCTTGTGGTGTTTAATTTATGTACAAAGTTTAATCTGTTAATGTACAACAGAGATGCCATTTTGGAATGAAAGAAATATAGCTATAAAATGGCCACCATTCGGCCATCTTGAATTGCATCATGAAACAAATACATGAGTGCATGTTTGGCATGACGTTAGTGTGAAATTTCAACTTGTTTGAGATGCAATTGCAGATATACTTGCAGATGGATGGATGGATGTGGACAAATATTTGAATTCCTAGGGCATTAGCAGTGTTGTGTGTGTTTCATATTATTTAATTCATGCAACAAAACCAAAATGAACTTTGTGGTACCAAAACACACTAGGGGAAACATTTTATGACATATATGCTAATCATTAACTGCACCTTGACAGCAGGAAAATAAATTCATGATTAACTAAACATTTATTTCCCCGCTATCTGCATGCTGTTATCAATGGTTTGTACACGACATATTACCATTCACGGATTATTTTGTGGAAGGATACAAATCTCACAGGAGTGAGAGGGTTGACAATAACGTACCTGATTTGGTGGATAATATGAAAGCCATCTATCCAAATGCTCAGCATACATTCCGGGTCTGAGGCATCTATTCTGAAGATCTCTCACAGCTTTTGGAGCACCCTCCAAGGCAGACACAACTTCAAAGAAACTGTAGTTCAAAGCAGTTGGGTCAGCATGGGCCCTCATGTGCTATCAATGAATGAGATGCATTTCTATTCATTTAGCATCGAAAAAAAATAGAATTTACCATTCCACAAAAAGCCATATCTGCATTCATCCAAAACACAACAGCCCCCAGTTTACATTTTTCCTTATTTGGGGTAAAACCTACATCACCAATATTGACATATTCTAAGTTATTGATCTTATTTGAATATTTTTACTTTGTCTACACCAGACATTGAAACGCTGCAGCATGTAATAGAGAACTGAAACTGTGTCACTGAATGCAAACTTTCAGACAGCTCGAAAATTTTTGTTTCCATTTTGGGCATTTATCGCTCATAAAATTATTACGACAAGCCAAAACAACAATACGGGAATGTATCAATCTATGCTATGATCAGTCGATATGGTCGCCATACTGCCTTCGTACAAACTTTGTGATAACTTCATAATATTTCAGAAACCAGTACAATAAACTTCCTCGTGGTTCAAAACAACTCACCGAGTTTAGCCACATGATAACAAAATTAATAATGATACCTATGATTACGGCAATTCTATTTTTAGTAAGATTCTGAATTGTATGAATGCTATTAATTACATATTAAACATAATGCATAGCATTTGAAACAAACAAGCATTCATAACTTAACTAAGTTATTCTTACCTGATACCATGAATAAGCACGTTTGGAAGGACTGAGGAGAATTGTGACAATCCTGGCACGAGGTAACATCGCGTACGCTCTCTCAGCTACTTGATGGTTATCAAAGTACGTTGCACTCTTCTCAAACACGTAGTGTGTTGAACTGTTATTAGGCAATGGAAAGAACTCCATGTACCTAAAAAGAACAGATTTGTACCGTTCTAACTATTTGGTCAAAATTGTATGACAATATTCAACCTTTTGACCCCCTTTCTTTTCGATAATTTTAGTTCAAATGGACATCATTTCCCCATTGTCTGCATGACTTGATCAAACTTTTTTTTAAATGAAGAAAACAATTCTGTGAAATGAAAAAAATTTACTTTGGGTTACTGCCTAAATTAATGTTTGCTCAGAAGGGAAGACGTCAATTTTGAATATTCAAAGGTGTGTAACTATAGTTCAACAAAATATTGAAAAAAACAGAATCCTAATTCCAGGACATAATGATAATCTATTTAGTTATTTAAAACAAGAGAAGACATCAGTCACCATATACAATGCTTTCATGCGAAACAGAAAATTTGATTTTCCTAGGAGACATGCACAACTTTTCCCATAATGCACTGCATGCAACATAAAATTCATAATTTCCCCATAGTGCATGGTGTGAAACAGAAAATTCACCCTACTTCCATGAAACAGAAAATTTATCCCATCCCATGATGCATTACATGAAACAGTAAATTGGTCCTTTTCCCATGATGCTTTGCATGATACAGTAAATTGGTCCTTTTCCCATGATGCTTTGTATGAAGCAGAGCAAAAAAGTTTCACATGTTCAAATTCAAGTAAAAAAACAAGTATCATGATGCTTGAACGTCTCCAAGGAAACCAGTGTCAAATTAGTACATAACCAGCCATAATTTAGTAGATAACTTATCACACATATTCCCTGATAAACAATCTGAATAAAACATACCAATCTATTCCCCTGTGATAATTTGCTCCGCTGAAAAACTGTACTTCTTCAAATGTTTTGGTGCTTGGAAAATTACTCATTATAGATGGGTGCATACTCAGAAAACTGTATAATGCTGTGGTCCCTGTGAGCAAAACAAGAAATAGAAGACATATCATTAATTCTGTTGTTTTTTTTATACAGAGGAAGAACATATAGAGTCACTATCCACAACCAGCGATTCTCACAAGAAAATAGTGTAAATTGCTGTAATTTCATGAGAGATGAATTTTTGAAAATTGCAGAAATCAGGAAAAACCATGAAATGTTGAAGCAGCGAAGATTATCAAATCAGTTTACTCAAATTCTAGACTTGATTACATGCTGAAGTGTCTCAACTTACCAGTTTTTTGAGGTCCTATAACTAAAAACTTAGGGAGTCTATCACATGACTTATTTTCAGACCATATAGCTAAGTGGCGTTTATCATCACATGGGTTCTAGAAAAGTACAATAGCATTAAAATTGTTCTATGTAATTAACATTTGATACAGTTGTTTATTTGATGATTTGTCATTCAAATACTACAAAGACAAATTCTTATGTGATTTTGATTAGAACAAACAAGTCATTGTCAATGACGCGTCCCTGTTCCGTTCATATTTGAGTGACATATACATTCAAAGCAGATCATGACCGAAATCTCAGACCACTTTCAGTGGTATGATCCGAAATGCGCCTGCATATGTACAACACATTGTACTAAATCTGAACAAAATCCATCCATGCATGACTGAGATCCGGTTCCCGAATTGTGAAAATACGTGATTTTGATGCATTTTCGGCCTTAAAATGGCCATCATTCAGCTATTGTTAAGCGGATCATGAAACAAATGCACATATCTATTTGTAACATGATGTACCATGTGTGTGTGAAGTTTGAACTTGATCAATCCAGACATGTCTCAGACACGGATCCAGAACTGAATTCTTTAAAACAAAATGGCCGCCAGTCGGCCATTTCGAACTTGATCCGGAAAAAAAATGACGTGCATCAAGGTCCTATTATGTTTAATGTGTTTACCAAATTTGAACAAAATCCGTCCATGCATAACTGAGATCCGGGTCCGGAATGGTAAAAATGTGCGATTTTGATGCATTTTCGGCCTTAAAATGGCCGCTATTCGGCTATCGTTAAACGGATCATGAAAAAAATGCATGTGCATATGTCCCATATAATGTGTGATGTATGAGTGAAGTTTGAACTTAATCGGTCCATGCATGTTCGAGATACAGGTGATCACGGACGCATGGACGCACACAGGGCAAACTATAAGTCCTCGTTTTCGGACTATGTCCAAACGGGGACTAACAAACCACAAACTTTTCTCTACTCTTCAATAAATGAAAATATTTTAAGCACTTGTTAAAGGAGCATCACAGAATGTAATCAAGACTCAGCAGCAACTATGGTTCCAGGTGGAAACCGAATAAATGCGTTTATTTGGCTTGCGATTCTGTTCATGTAGTGAACATTCTAATCCTGTGGCAGTCGTCCCACTATGCTGTGTAAGATACGAGTCGCTTGTGATGTTAATTGCATGTAAGAAATATACGCGAAATTGGAATAAGACGACTGTGTTTCTTTACTCATCCCCAGTACCAGCCTGTATTTCTAGTAATATGCATTTGTCTCGTGTTCTGATATGATCAGTAGTAACTTCATTGCCTTCACCCTAGGTTCATGCCCTTATCACCTGATCTACCCTTGTTAACCTTTTCACCACCAGACATTCTGGACTTTTTTCATATATACTTCAGTATTTCTGGAAATGAATCCTAATTTTGAAGCCACCAGACAAAATTTCAGCCAATTGTCAGTTTTTACTCCAAAAATTTTGCTATATTTGTCCTAATCTTCTGCAGGAAAGTGCAGACTATAAACGAGACTATTTCGTGAATCGGTGATGAAAAGAGGGAACTGGTTTTGAAATGGTTAAGACATCCTCTGGATAGCCAAAATGAAGACGATATGTTAATAACAATTACTCATTTAACTAACCTGCCATATTGGGTCCTTCTCTTCTGGATATAGTGAAAAGTATTTGTTTGCTAATTCTAGCGGAGGTATTGAAATAAACTGCAGATTGGTCCAACATTGTACAAACTTAATAACACTTTTAAAAGTATATAAAGCCAGCCTGTCATTACCATAGTTTGAAAGATGAGTCATAAAAATATTTATCTATAAATAAAACAAAAAGTGCTGGTAGTTAAATTATATTATTACATCTAAAAATAATACCATAATAATAAATATACATCCCCAGCAACCACTACAGACTGTTTTCCCATAGCAACAGAGAGAGTGTTCATTTCAGTTACCAATAGAGCAGCCTTAACGCTTAGAATGAATCTAAATCCTAAAACAAATCTGCATACATGGAATGTGAGCAGGGCATTGAGTGATCACCAAAACTGAAATTGAAGTCACTATATACATTGTAATCCAAGTCTCTTGAATTGCAGCAGTACACAACCCAAAAATGTTGTATCTTTGCACAGTACAGTGCAATTTTGAGTTATTTCCATTGTCATATGCTGTGCCATATCTGATTGGACGCAGTATTTATGTATATGCAAATACCCAATCTCTCTGTAGAATTATGCAAGAGTTTGATGAATATGTCACAGGGCTCGAAATTAACATATTTTCTTAAGATCTTGAGTAGCCTACCAATTTCAAAAGCTGATTACGTAGTCCGTCAGTGGTTTTTGTTCTTGAAACCATGCATACCAATCAGCTTAATTTGTGTGGGACAACTTATAATTTTGGTATATTAGTGAAAAGACATGTTTAATTACTTAAAAATTTCTTGTTGGGTTATTAATTTTGGCAAATGGTAGACCTAGCATAATGAATTGGTTATCACTGTACTTTTGGATAAGGATAATTTTGAGCTCTGCAATTTTAAATCAAGACTGCAATATGGACAATGATGTCACACATGGTAAGAGGCGAAAAAGAGCAAAACAGATTTTATTTTACGTAATAAAACTCCAATGCAGTATCACAACAAATTATATTAAAATTAATATTAGTCAACTTACAGGATTATTGACAACAATCATAAATAATTCGCCGCCATGGATACTAGCATCTAATTTACTTCTTCCGCCGGGATACTTATTCATGAATAATGTGTGAGTAAATAAACCACAGGTCTGCCGCGGTAAAACCTGGAAAATCAATAAATAATGGTGAGAATATTTTCTAGAATATCCTAAAAGTAAATCAATAAAATATAGCAGTATATTTTCCCAGTATTAAAAACAGAGAAAGCAGTTTTCTTACTAGATGGAAATATAATTCCTTGATATTAAAAACAAAGGAATACAAGTTCTCTGACTAAGATGGCAGTATAGTTTCACAATATTAAAAACATCAGGAAAAGCAAGTTCTCTCACTATGGCAGTATACTCTCCCAGAATAAAAAACAAATGAGAAAACAAGATCCCCCACTAGGTGGCAGTATATTCTCCTAGGATAAAAACAATAGAGAGATAGACAAGGACATTTTTATATATCATGTGCACCTGTAACCCAATATACATGATCATGATACAAAGTTTGAATGTTTAGGTATCAGAAATTAACAAATTTGAGGACCAAAATGTCAGACACTCAGCCATATTTGATTAACTGGTAAAAAAAAATTGAAGTGCATATGTAAGTCATCATACATGGTCCTTGTGTTCAGTTTGTATGAGATCAGTCAAAGGAAGCCTGAGAAATGGCCCAACAGACATACACAACACAAAGATGTCTGCTTTGACTGTTGCGTAGAGTACAAAATGAGATGTAACCAAGCCTTAATTGGACAATTTTTAGGTGATTGGAAGTTATTGAAGGAGTCACCGATGGTAATCAGTGCAAGTTGGGCCCAGGCCAAACCTCATACTTGTGATTTCTATTAGAAGAGCGCATTGGATTGTGGGAAAATCAATGTTTATCAACACAAATGTCGCACATGCGCGGCACAATGACCACCACCCTTTAACAACTCAACTTGATTTATGTAATTCTATTTTGACTCAAGCTATAGTACTGTTAGAGGGCAGACTTCAAACAACCTCAAATTTAGTTAATATACTAACCATGATATTTCTATGTATGAAACCTCGTCTCTTGATAGCAGGTCTGAGATGAGGATACTCTTCAGTACTTGTCACCCGTATATTCCACACTTTTCTCCAGGCTTCATACAATTGAGTATGTATTGGATAAACACCGGAATGATGTGGTGCTACTGAGTAGAACTTTTCAACTGGGATGGAGTAGTCCTGGAAAACCAATGATATTCAATGCTCGGTGAGCATGTTATCAATAGAATGCAATATATTGTTAAACGATGACAATGACAACAACGACAATGCCAGACAGAAGTTTTGCATACATCTCATTTTTTCCTGATAACAGCTTTTGCTGACATCAATTTCTGCGATATGATTTAGCGTTTATGGAGATAAAATTTCATGGAATTTATGTGACTTTGATTCAATGTTTTTTTGCAAACAAAATTTTCATTCGATTTTATTTTTCGCTGATTTAATCCTTCAAGAACAAAATATTTAACACGTGCAATGAGAGGTCAAAAGCATTCCCCATTTAGAAACTTTGGATGAAACTTGATTATGCAGATACTTGTATTTCATCGGAGCTGGCCATGATATTGCATTAAATTGCCATTATGATATAAAGATGTCATATACATACCGCTAATTTCAAACACGTCAGAGACAACAGCAACACAAAAAGTTTGTAAATGCTTTTTTTCGACCATACCTTAGCAAATTGTCTGTTCCTGACCATCTCGGTACGCAAGGCTGTTTCGTTGCTATAGAGGTGAGGCTGCATGTGATTCCACATATGAGGAAACCACCAGAACCGATGCGCGTTTACTAAGAGCGCATCATCTCCATCGTCTTCTTGGTCACTGCCTGAATGGAGAAATTTCCCTGAGAATCCAAGATTGAAGTGAAAACCTGGTATTTGGGCTTGCATCTCATCTTGGTGTTGTATTAATGCCTGCAGAAACAAGACAAGCAACAACAAAAATAGCAATTCAAATAGGATTCAAGTTCATAAAATCGATACTGAATTATTTATGCTAATTTATGCTAATACTAAATTAGTTATGCCAATTTATGCTAATACTGAATTATTTATGCTAATTTATGCTAATTATTCAAGTAC